CCACAGCACTGCACTTCAACGTGTTGTGCCACCAGGGAGCACCCTGTCCCCCATTCTTGTGTGGAAGCAGAGCACACATTTCCCACGGGAAGGCTACCCTCCGAGTACCAGGAAGGGAATATCTTTACCACTGGAGATAGGGAGTCGACACCAAGATAAATCTGCACAAACAAGTCTTAAAATAACCTTTATTCCACTAGGTTTGCTTTATAGTTCTTGGTCACTTTCCTATCATTTACTGTCCCTAGAGCCCAAGACTTTCCCTTGGTGTAGTTCTCACCATTTAGCCCCCATTGTTAAATGATATATAAGCCCCTGAGTCTAACCACTTTCCTATGAAGCCGCTGAGCCATGGAAAAAAATTACCGTCGAATAAAATTTGTCTGCCTTTCTCCTCTGAACCTGGATTTTGTCAGCTTAATCTGCTGGCACACATTACTGATCCTAAGATGGTAGAGGAAAGTCTTTATCTTCTTACAGGCTGGCAAAGGCATTACATGAGTTGAGCTGCGTGTGCATAATTAGTAGAAATCTGAGACAATGAGTCAGGCCCTAAGGTTACAAAATCCTTTGTTACAATAATTAAATACTCTAAGATAAAGGTTTGGTTGTTGTTTTAGCCATGTACACTGTTATCATGTCTCTTAACTTTAAAACTCAAGATAATTAAATTCTTCTTAATCACACAAGGTAAACCAAATCTAAGATTTCTTTATGTTTCAAGTCTTAAGCCTATTTCCATTGAATTTAATTTTTCTGCTTTCCAAACTAACTATATGTATACACATCTGGCTTTCCCTATGTCTCCACGTGCTTAATTCAGAAGAATGTTCAAGACATTTTTAAGGGCAGAAAAACTCACCAGGCCGGGCCATGGTCAAAAGCACCACTTTCTCACAGCAAATGCAGCGAAAAGCACAACTTCAAAGGGGTGCCCACTGTCCTCGAAGGACGTGCCCACAAGAACCAAATCCACTTCAGTAGTTAGAAAAGGGCCTGTCGGCCCTCCCTCATGGCACAGCAGGTTAAAGCGCAGCACTGCAAGCTGGCAG